AACATCTGTTATGGGATTATACCTGAAAGAACATCTGGTGGGTGGGGAACACCCCTCACATACCTGACTGTGTATAAAAGACCCGTTGTAATTCCCAATAAACCGCTTCTGCACTAGACAGGGGTCCAGTCTCTCTCTTTCTCTCTTTCTTCTTCCCCCCAATCGCTGACACCATCTCCATCTTTGGGGTACCCTGAACCCAGCTGGAGCTGGACTCCGGCAAGGCATGATTTGTTTTAAGTCTCTTTCAACTGTCCAGAGTTGGACTTTATTATTGAACAAATTTGCAGACTTGGACTTAATCAAAACTGATAATGAATAAAGTGAATCTTTTGCCAACTTGTTTTATGCTACATTTCATTCTTTGCAATTTTATTTTTTTATAATTTTCTAGATGGATCTTCTTTTTACACCAACTGCATATTCAGTAGAAGGACATGCTCTTTTAAATTCTACTACACATTATCTTAAAATTTTAAAAATGTATATATTTCCAGGTCAAATGAGAAATTTATTATTTCATTTTTTTTACAACTTTAAAAAAAAAATCTTTCTACATCCCAGTTTTTTCCTAGAGAAGAAATCTTATCACATTTTCCCCAATTATACCTCCCAGAAACACTTCCTCCTCTGAATTTGCAAGGCCCTTCCTTATCTGTCTTCCAGATTTTTGCTGTATGTTTTTTATCCTTGGAGTTTATTTCACAAAGGGGGGGAACTATGTCTCACTCATCTTTAGATTCTTATAGTGTCTTACGTATAAAAGTGTTTGATGTTGTATGTCTACTAAGCACTGAAGGACCTTTTAGGGAATAGTAATACATGTCAAATTTGCACACATAGAAAACATCAGATTCAGCACAGAAACTCTCATTCTAAAAGTATTACCTGAACTGGTCTGTTAAAAAGTGAAGTAATTCCTTTATTTCATCCATATGACTAAAGCTGGAAAGGTGTGCTCCAAGGGCTTGGCAGAATCTTTCAGCTTCTTCCCAGTTCCTCTTTCTTACAATTCTTTCTACATGGAATACCTAAATGAAATATCATGTTAATTTGTTTTCTGGTCTAATTATAAAGTGTTCATAATGTTAAAGTCAATTATGGCTACTGAAAAGGATTCTTATAGGTGTAATGAAGGCATAGGTAAATGCACACACACTGAGACACAGACAGGTCCTGCTGAAAGTGTCAACTAAAGGCCAGCACAGGTGCCAGCCCCTGTTGTCAGATGGATGGCCTTCCTCAGCCAGGCTTGGGAACTGCTCCATCAAGGTCCATGTTCTCCTGCAGTCCCAGGATCTTGAAAAATAAAATGAGCCAGCAGGCAAGGTTGTAAAAGATACATATGGATGCTTTGGGAGTGGACTTTGGCAAAGAAATGTGCTAATAATATAATTTTCAATATAAGACACTGAGAGCTGCACAAGAATAGGACTATTTTCTGATGAAGAATTGAAGAGTAATCTGCACTGGTGTGTGAACATTGATAGAAGGTGGCAAAACTAAACCTGCCACTTTGGGCTGTTTCTTTGGTTTGTGATGAATAATTTTAGGCCAAAGGAACCACAGTTATTTCAAAAGAAGAAGATGAAGGGGAGGAGTAGGGAGAGAAGAATGCACAGTGATAGGCTGAATTATTTGTCTTGATTCTTCAATTCCTTGCTGTATAATTATATGTTCTTGCCATAGCCTCCTGGTTGGTAGTGTTTACTTCTTTAGATTTTGATGTGGAGGTTGGCCATGTGACTTGCTGTGAACAATGGGATATTAGTGGAGGTAAAGAGAGCAGGAGCCTGAGATGTGCTTATGTAGTTGGCTTGCCCTTTCCAGCTCCAGTGATTTAGCATGAAATAAATAAGTCCCTGATAGCTGTTGCCCCATCAGTCTGAGCCCTAGATTGAAGGTCAACAGACTTCAAGTCATATTTTGGACCTCAACCCAGTTGACCTGCAGTTGGACCATCCAAGCCCAAACTAGATCAGTCAAATCCTAGCTGGCCTGAAGATCTGTGGATGTAAGATTAAATGTTTGTTGTCACAGCCACTGATTTTGGGGGTGGTACCTAGTAGTTGGTTCATGGGACTAGCTGAGTAATGTGGACCCCAACATTATTTTTTACATTATAGGTGATGAAACTTTTAATTTGACAACAAGAATTAGAGGGAGATGAGGATCATAAACATAGTGTCAGCATGGCACACAGCTCACCCAACTTCTTGGGAAAAAAGGGCCCTGGGCAAGAGCCAGTTCTGGCTTTGGCCTTGTTCTTTTGGGTAGGGCACATGCAGGGTGTAGGGCTGAGCCACCCGACACCAGAAGTACAGTGATGCTCTGCCAAGAAATCTATGCTCTCAAGCATTTAAGTTATGTTTGTCTATGGTAAGGAGGGTAATTCGTACAAGGAAACAAACTAAGATGACAGAAAAATAATTTCATGGAAGGATTGAAGGAGAATGTTACTTTACCTTATAACAAGAAAGACCCAAGGGGAAACCATGCCAGCCTTCAGGACAGGGGTCATCAGGCTTGGGGGCTGCTTCCTCAGGCTCAAGGGATCCACTAATTTTTTTGCAAATCGAAAGTGCTTTGAAGCTTCTGCAGTCTTTCACCTCCCACTTTCCAAGAGACTTTCCAGTAGACATAGCTACGCACCCACCTGGAGAAGCTGGATTGAATTGAATAGTTTAATTAAAACCTTAAATTAAAGCTCAAACATTTTCTAGTGTTTCTACTCTTTACTTGAGCTAAGGTTGGGGGAGAAAACAGGGGGGAAAATGGAGGCAAGAGAGGAAAGAAATGTCTTGTTTAGGCCGGGCTCAGTGGCTCAGGCCTGTAAACCCAGCAGCGTGGGAGGCAGAAGCAAGAAGACTGCTTAAGCCCAGGAGTTCGAGACTACCCTAGGCAACATGGTGAGATCTTGTCTCTACAAAAAAATTTTAAAATAAAAAAAAAATATGGCAGGTGCCTGTAGTCCCAGCTGCTTAGGAGTACTGTTTGAGCCCAGGAATTTGAGGCTGTAGTGAGCTGTGATCATGCCAATGCACTTCAGCCTGAGTGACAGAGTGAGATCCCAACTCAAAAAAAAAAATATGTTGTTCAGAATAATAATGATGATGATTTCACAGCATAATTCACAATTGCAAAGATGTGGAATCAACCCAAATGCCCAACAAGCAATGAAAATGTGGTGTATATACACCATGGATTACCATTCAACTATCAGAAAGAATGAAACAACATCTTTTGCAGCAACTTGGATGGAATTGGAGAATATCATCTAAAGTGAACTAACTCAGTGGAAAGCCAAACACTGAGGGAACTAAACTAAGGATATGTAAAGATTTGTGTAAGATTTATTTTTATGTAAGGATGTATAAAAAATTCCTCAGAATCGGAAGGGGTAAAGGGTGGAGGGACAAAAAAAAATCACCTATCAAGTATAACGTGCACAGGTGGGGGTGAGAACACTTAAAGCCCAGACTAAAACTATTTGTATGCTCCCAAAGCTATTGAGATAAATAAAATTTTTTAAAGTCTTTAAAAAATGATGACAATATGATGATAGGTAATATAGAGAAGTGTCTGTATTTATCAGATACTAATCTAAAAGGCATAAATTAATTAATCCTCTCAACAAAACTGTAGGATGGAGTCTATTGTTACACTTGAGGGACAGTGAGAATTAAATCACTTGCTCAAGGTTACGGAGTTAGTAAGTGGTTGACTCAGGATTTGAACCCTGGTGGTCTACTTCCAGAGCTATACCCTAAACCACTGTGCTGCGCAGGATAGTGGTTCAAATTTGTTTAACAACTTTGAGCAGTTTTTAAGCAACTTAGTAAATCTCAAAACACAACTCTTCCAGATTCAGATACAAAGGAAAGGCTGGTACGGTAACGGAAAAGGAGGTATGTGGTAACATACATTTTGTGACAGCCATGATTTTATTTATTCTCATAACAATATTAAAATGTAGTTTGTATTATCAGATCTATTTTCCAGATAAAGACTAAGAGACCTGCCATAGTAATAGTGAGCTGTGGAGTTGGGATTTGAATCCAGATTTGTCTGGCAAAAGGCCATGCTGACACACTGCCTAAGGCGAACAGAAGACAAGGAGAGTCACATACATGGGAAAGTAACAGAGAAAACGTCTGTTCCACCAAACAGAAAAGCCATATAGTATCATGTCCTATTCTCAGGCAGCAAGAGGAACAAGGAATGGGAAAATAATAACGCCTTGCTCCCTGAATGGGTGTGCTATATTTTCCTGTTCTGTCTTCCAACCATGATAGACCATGATAGGCCAAGTCAACTAAAGCTGAGAGCTGTAATAATAATGAGAGCTTCATGGCCGTCTTTCTGACCACAGAACTGAGGGAATAGCCACAGGAGCTGCTTCCTAAGCACCATTCCAACCACCAAGGCTTAGCCAGAAAAACGTGACCTTTACTCTAGGATGTCTGAGTGTCTATAAAAGAAATCTGTGTGTTTTATTCATTCGAATATTTCTTTCTTTCTTTTTTTTTTTTGAGTTGGAGTCTCACTCTGTCGCCCAGACTGGAGTGCAGTGGCCGCTCCTGGCCACCGCAGCCTCGACCTGCTGGGCTCTGGCGATCCTTCCACCTCAGCCTTCCAAGTAGCTGGAACGACAGGCGCGCGCTACCACACCTGGCTAGTTTTTTTATTTATTGTAGAGATGAGGTCTCACCAAGTTGCCCAGGGAGGTCTTGAACCCACGGGCTCAGGCAATCCACTCACCTCAGCCTCCCCAGGCGTGGGATTACAGGCTGAGCCACCGAACTTGGCTTAGAATATTTCTAATTTAAGATGAGATTTAACCAGGATTAGCATCTGTATCCACTATCTTTTATATGTAAAAAGATGACCTTGTTACTAGCAATACTACTCACACCAATGGCGATGAGCATTCTCCATTTCAAATATTGTGTTCAACTGTAAGCTTACATGTTCCAATCTATGTGTTATAAGAAATGGTCTTCATGATCACATTAGCCCAACACAAGAAAATATTAATAATTCAAAGGGAGAAAAGTAGAATGCTTTTAACTGCTGCCATATTCAAAGTCAAAATCCTCTAAAAAGCACTGGCTTGGGCATCAGGAACTCTGGATTTTACTCATTCAATAACCAGATGACCTCTGTCAAGAAAATCACCTTTTAAAGTCTTCTAAACTCAGAAGGTACTTTTAAGGTCCTTTCCGGCTCAAATGTGCTAATTCTATGGCAAATTATGGCCAGTGCTTTAGGCTGGTTGAAGAAAGGTTAACTAACTTTCATAAAAATTAATACATACAATATAGCCTCCTTAATTCTTACCATTGAGAATAAATGAAATAAACACATTCAGTTTTGGAGAAAGAGGTTAAGAAGCAGAGAGAGGAAAATGTAAAAAGCTTCACAAAGGAGCTTCTAGAATCCTTTTGAGATTTATTAGGAACGATTTTAAAAATTCATGCTGGTAGTTCTAGCTCTGAGCCCTTAGATGGCAGTTTCATCAACCAAGTTTTAGAACTTCTTTCACTGGATTATTTCCAAGGATTTAATAGAGAAGTCATAGCCACTGCTTCTATCGATGGTTCCATAGATAGACTCCAATCCTGAAGGTCATCCTTTGCCTCACATTTCAAAAGCAAGTGAAGAACATATTTGGGAGGGATGCTGCCTTTCACTAGTCACCGTATTCTATTACTTTAAAGGTAAGGCACTCACCTGGCTCAAGAAAATTCCAGTTGGAAAAAGTTACAGCCCGCTTTATTCCACCAACATTTGCCCAACTATACTCTCCACGTGAAGCTACATCTCTCAGACCAGTCCAGAAGTATTTTCTTAGAGATTTATCATACTTTTTCATTACATCATTTAGGTATTCTTGCTCAAATCTACAAAAGAAGAATCAGATTGTCAAGTGTTTCGCAATGATTGAATCAATTTGAAGATACACGCTTTCTTAGGAAGAGTGTTTAGCAAAATAACTTGGAGTTAAATTACTGGCACATGTTTACCAATGGTCATACCTGCTAGTGATGGTCAGATTACAGTTTGTTCCAAAAGGAACCTCATTCTTGTAAATCTTGTAACAGGTTTCTCCATGTCTCGTCCAGCCCTAAATCAGAGGAGAAATACTGTCACACTGTTTTCCAGACTCAATGATGTCCCTCTCTGACAAGGAAGTTTGTGCTACATTGATAACATCTAAGAATTGTAGAAGACATGGCAGGTGAATTCATACATGTGATGAGCGTAGGATGCAATTTCACAGGTAACCTCCATAAGATTGCAAGCCTCTGTTAGACAGAAGGTATTTTCTTTACCCTTGGTGCCTGGTTACCCATAGAAGTATAACAGTTGTTGGTGGAATTATTTTTGGACAGGAATAATATCAGCAGGGGAAGTAAATATATCAGCATTGAGGATTGTAATCATGTAAATTTTTATAAACATTTATGAATAGGTAATTCTCCTTTCCTTCTGTAAGAAGCCAATCAGTGTGCTATGATTATTGCCTTCTGGTTTGCGCTAATGTAAATGAACAGAAGCAAGTAGTTTCTTCTATATTCTAAGTCTGAATTGTTTAAATCTTAACTAGCATCTCTAAGCAAGAAGAAGTAATACTGCTTAAGAAAATTTACACAGGGATTTCACATACCTCATCCAGAGGACACATCTTATCAGACCTTGTATCATTCAGTTTTTCTCCCTTTTTTTTACATACATATTTAAGTTTCTTCTCACATGATTGGACTTTCCACTGACCTAGCTTTTAAAAAAGAGACAAAAATATTTGCTCACAAAGAAATTACTTACCATATATTTAGAATTAAATAAGAGATAGAATGAATATGAATATAAGTACATGATTAGCTATGAGAACATACTCCTAGAAAATGCTACCTAACAGGTCTGCAAGGAGTGATTTGCAGCCTGTTACCTCAGTATCCTCTCAAAGTCACACTGTGGATGAATTTCATTTTCTTATAAGAGTAACAATAAAACCATCAAAGGACACTTATTATAGTTGAGGAGTAAAGAAAGCCCACAAACAGTTGCCAGCATTCTAGTCTTCCATATGACATGGCCAAAGTTTGTCCACATGTTAAAAATTTTTAGGCATGTCAACTAACCTCTCTGTCTCAGTTTTCTCTTATACAAACTGATGGTGGTGGTTAGAATAGCTACTCTCCAAGAATTCTAGTTCAAAAGATTCTTTCAACTCTACTTCAGCCTAGACTTCAAAGTTCTCTTTTTAAAATATGCTGCTTAACATTAATTTTGCTTAATTGACTAAGTCACTCTGCTTTCTTCAAATTTAATTGTAATAAGTGATAAATTTAATTGTGATAAGAGTCAGTTTTGGACATTGGAATGCTGTCGAGGTATGTCATCAGTTCACTCTTGGCCATGGGACATGATTTCCATTTTTTACATTCTCCTACAGACAGCTTGGATATCCTTTAAATGTGACATCTTTCTAAATACATCCTTACTATTAAAATACTTCTAAATACACATAACATTTATTGCTTCCACTTAAGTCTCTTTAGTCATAACCAATTAAGCATCTACAGAAAAATGATACAAACAAAAAAAGAGGTACTTATGCCCTTCTGCTCGAAATACAACCTATTTTGGGTACTAACTAAAGTATCTTTGAAAAATGTTTAGGCATTCTACAGGAATAAGACATTTTCTGAACAATGTTAGACCTAATTTTTAAGTAAGAATATTTCTTTACTTCTCAAAGTAGGTATAATATGCAACTTAATCTGAACATTAATTCAGAAGATGAGATTTTTCAGGTTAAATTGTGACTACATATCAAATACCACATTGATAGCAGTAAGGTGGGTTGAGACCCTGGTCCTGAGAGAACACAGCTCATTAGAACCAATCTGGCATGAGAATCTGAGCTCTAAAATTCTCTGTATCTGTTTTAGACCAGAGCAGATGCTTTCAGTAATTGCTTATTCAGTAATTGCTTTTATTTACCTTTTTTTTCCCCAGTAGCTACCAGATAATCTACAGGGTTCTTATTTTTAATTTTCTTTCCCAGCTTGTACACAAACATCCAAACCAAAGTAACATTAATGTTATCATTAAGTACAACAATAAGAATATAAGTAAACCACTGGAGTTTTCCTACCTTTCCTACATAGGAAACACAGTTGGGAGTCTTATTGTAGGGGACATTTGGCTCATTCTCATCCCAATATGTTAGAGTAACTTCTGTACCATCTGACCACTGAAATAAAGTTGGTGTATTTATGTTCTTAAGGCCTATCCATATTTCTTCCTTGGCATCTAAAAGAAAAATGTTACTTTTTTATTGAATTACATACTTTAATATTTACATTGTTATACTAGTTTTTAATTCTGGTATAGGCTTTTAAGAACCTTTGCAGTATTCTTAACTAGCTAGCCTATGTAAAATGTTGATAAGGCAGGCAGGTTGAGTAATGAAAGATTTTCAAGTCACTTATGTGAGTAAAGTACAGAGGAAGATCTGCTGTATTATGATCTGTAGGCTGGTTGCACCTGATATCTGGTATAGATAAACTTTGCTTTGTGGGGATTAATAAAATTCTATAAATATAATCACAGATTTTCCAATTAGAATAGAAACATTGTCCACTGCTACCCTGGAATGACTCTGCTGCCTTCACAGATGAAACAATGAGCACCATGCTGGCACAGGACCGTGTCTACTACAGCTACTATTGCTAGTGAATTCTAGGAAGAGGTCATAATACTGGCAGAATAGTATATTTTTGCTCATCTGTCTTTAGCTTTCAAATAATCACAAAAGTGAAATAATTATCACTTAAATTTTTGGAGCAATGTAAATAGAACTTAGCTCACGAGAAAGGCAAGATCATTTACTCAACAGTTGTACTATCAAATTGGTAGCCACTAGGCACATATGGCCATGTAAATCCAAATATAAGCTAACTAAAATTAAGTGAAACTGATAATTCAGTTGCCCTCGCTACATCTCAGGTGTTCAAAATCCACATGTGGCTGGTGGCTAGTGTTTTGGAAAGTGCAGATTGTAGAACAACTCCATTGCCCCAGAAAATTCTATAGGACAGTGCTGATCTATGGGATCAAATTGTAAGTTTTTCATTCCCATGAAGAATCTGAAAATAAGGACACTTTAGAACAACTTAAATCTCTCAAATCTCTAAAAACTTACCCCCCTTATGGAGTTTTGTGATGACCACCTCCACATCTGCTAGAGAATGAATGCTGATTAGGTCACTACTGAAGGATTTGCATTTCATATGTGCCTTATCCCAGGAATTACTTTCATTTGCCAGCAGATAGCAAAATCCATTATTTGGCAGCCAGCCTGCATCACAGCGGGTATCTGAATATGTCCACACATCTGGGGGAAAAGCAGCTATTTATATTCCAGTAAAGATACATCCATTTTGAATCAATAACATTGCAAATTTTTTTTCTTGAATAATAAAGCTTCTGGAAAACTGGGGAATGTGATGTCAGATGCTACAGTGACATGAATTTATGTGGTGCCTACCACATAAATGATGTATGCATGGCATCTTAAGAATCCCTGCTGGGATTCAGAAACTGTTGTGACTTTAACATGATACAAATGTGCTATATGGCTGGGCACAGACTATGCAAGGGGTGTAGACACAATCAAGGCAGAGACTGCTCTTAGTCCTAGTAGTCAGTAGACAGGCATGGAGTAAGTCGATTTCTGACAAATCTTTTCTTGGGATTTGTTAGGTTTCCCTCTGGTCTCTGCCTTTGAAAAGATTATAATGAGGGCGCGCCTCCTTTTCTTGTATGGTAAGCTTTGCAAGAGGATGTGCATAAATGCTCACTGTTGAACAAAGGACAGGCGGAGATTTAAGGAACAGAATAAGACATTTGTACACTACATTTGTACCCTAGAGATGGCAACAATGGAGGGAAAAGGCAAAGGATATCTCTGGACCTCTTTGTTCCTTCCCTCTGCTGGACAGATAGTCTTCATGAAATTGGTGATTGTATGTTTTGACTATGATAATACTCACAAGTAAAAGTCTAATCTTTCTGGATTAGAGAGAAAGAATGAAGTGTGTAAAGTCCCACAAAAGACTTCTACCTCTGTTAACAAAACAAGAAGTGATCTGGTTTCTCTAACTTCACTGATTCAGAACCATTTGGAACATCTGTTGTAAAAAGACACAGTAAGAAACTGCAGACAATTTGTTTTTTCCTAAAAGATAAAATTCAGATTCAGCTAGCCTCTCACGCTCCCAAGATAACTCAATTTACTTTAAGGTTCTGAAGCAGCACTACTGCAACAACTACTTATTATTATTATTATTATTATATGTAATAATTATTATAAAGTAATAGAGGAAAAAATTACCCATAATGGAACTTAATATTATCATTTTCATATTCTAGTATTTGTTTCAATGAATACATATTTTTATGGGTTTAAAATGATAAATAGGTATATCATTTTGCTTTGCTTTTTGTATTTTCCTGCTGGCACAGTTATTTTAATAAATACATATTATTCAATCATGTGGAAACATCATGATTTACTTAATAATTGCTACTGTGAGATATTTACTTTATCTTCAGTGGCTCTAGTTTATTTTCATCTGTGTTGCCTTCTCTATTATGCTTTTTGTTGTATGGAGTAAATTTGACTTGAATCAACTTAGAAGGTAAATGTTCATTTCTCCCTATTATCTTAAAATACCCTCCTATATTCTCTATTCTATGCCTATTTTTGTCCTTGAAAAATTGCTCTATGCTCCTTTTTGTTTGTTTATTTATTTATTCATTTTTGAGTCGGGGTCTCACTCTGTTGCCCAGGCTGGAGTGCAGTGGCATGATCTCAGTTCACTGCAGCCTTGACCTCCAGAGCTCAGGCGATCATTCTGCTTCAGCCTCCTGAGTAGCTGGGACTACAGGCATGCACCACCATACCTGGCTAATTTTTAAATTTTTTTTTTTGAAATGAGGTTTCACAACACTGCTTAGGCCAGGTCTCAAACTCCTGGGCTCAAGCAATTCTCCCACCTGGACCTCCCAAAGAGCTAGGGTTACATGTGTGAGCCACCATACCTGGCCTATGCTCTTTTTGGATGACAAGAAGTTTGGATGCTTTATTCCCCTCTTACATAGTTCCTTAAGGCAGGATATTTTGCAGTCATCTTTTCCCCTCCAGCTTTGAGTATCAGTTTCTCTTCATCAGTGAGGATGTAACCAACCAGGTATATGGCAGGCCCTATGCTTGACAGTCAAGGCACTCTGCTTCTCCATTCTTTCAAAACTTCTCTCAAACTTCTCCACTCCTCAAAAACTTCAGCTGTTCTTGTCTCTCCACTCCCAAACTCCATGGGAAAACCCCTTCTGTGAACATATTTTGTCCTTTTGCACCTCTCCTTTTTAAATTGATTTTTCAATGTAAAGACCTGTCTGACAAGGACAGAAAAGGGCCAGATGTTGTGGGGCAGAGGGTGGAAAAACATGGGAATAATCCTATTTCCCAATAATCCTATTTTGACTCATCACAGAGGCCTCTGTGCATAAGACTGTGCATAAGACTGTGCATAAGACTGTTGCTACAGCAGTGGTTCTCAGACTTGAACATGATCAGAATCACCTGGAGGGCTTCTTTTTATTTGTTTAATTTCAGTAGGTTTAGGGGTCACAAATAGTTTTTGGTCTGGGCTTTAAGAGTGCCTACAACTCCTGCTTGTGCACATTGTACCTGACAGTGATTTTTTGGTTTCTGGAGAGTTTCTTAAAACACAGATTGCTAGGCCAGGTGTGGTGACTCACACCTGTAATCTCTGCACTTTGGGAGACCGAGGTGGGAGAATTGCTTGAGCCTAGGAGTTTAAGATCAGCTTGGGAAACTTAACAAAACCCCATCTCTACAAAAAATCAAAAAATTTAGCCGGTGGCATGTACCCATAGTCCCTGCTACTTTAGAGGCTGAGGCAGAAGAATTGTCTGAGCCCAGGAGGTCGAGATTGCAGTGAACCATGATGGTGCCACTGCACTCCAGCCTGGGAGACAGAGTGAGAATTTGATTCAGAAACAAACAGCCCTCCCCTCCAAAAAATACAAATTGTTGGGCTCCAAACTCTAGAGTTTCTGATTAATAAATCTGGGGTGGGTCCTGAGAATTTGCATTTCTAATAGGTATAGGTGATGCTGATGCTCTTGGTCTGGGAACCACACTTTGAAAGCCTCTGCTCTAGAGAAAAAAGAAACACCATGAACAGAAATATATTTCTTCAGGGTATATACATATATTTATGTGATATTCTTTATTGCCTAAACCAAAGCATTGTTTTTCTATAGTTGATAATATCTAACCACTGGGTCAATGATAAAATATTTGTCTGGCAGTGTCAGGTGAAGGAAAGGTGAAAATAGGTATCTGAAATGGATTTACTTAACTTCACAAAGCCATGATTTTAAGATTTATTTGTGTGAGGAAGTGAGAAAGATACCTGTTAACTCCACTGTGTTATTCAATGGCTTCCTGCAGACGTAGGGCAGTTGTGCTTCACAGGAAAAACTCTGCCACAGACCAGACTCAGCATCCATTCTTGCACAGCTTGATCCACCTATTATAGGTGCACTGGGCCTATCTTAGAAGGTGGAATTTTCAGAGGGTTAGAAGAAGCTTAGGGCCAGGAGGGTGATTAGAAAAAAAAAATGTATTCCTAATTTTGTGTTTTTGTGGGAACTCATAGCATAGTTAAAACTTTTAATTATGTTGAAATGAATAAGACTCAGTGACCAATCATGTGCTCAAATAAACTTTTCTTCTAAAATACAGGATATGGGGGGAAAACACTCTGATATATTGTAGTTAATTTTAAAAACAAAACCCAGAACCAAACCCCTGTTTCCAAATGGTTTCCATGTCATATCCCATGGTCAGTAGCTCTCAATCTGATACTATAAAAATATTAATTTATCATTCTGTCATGCCTTTAAGTCCTTGAGTAAAAGATTAAATTATCCTTAAAGATTCTATTTACAGAAGCTGGGCTTGGTGACTCAGCCTGTAATCCCAGCACTTTGGGAGGCTGAGGCGAGTGGATTGCATGAGCCCGCGAGTTCAAGACCAGCCCGGGCAATTTGGCGAGACCTTGTCTCTACAATAAATAGAAAATTAGCCAGGCATAGTAGCACGTGCCTGTGGTTTCAGCTACTTGGAAGGCTGAGGCGGAAGGATTGCTAGAGCCCAGCAGGTTGGCATTGGGGTGGCCATGAGCATGCCACTGCACTCCAACCTGGGCAATGGAGTGAGACTCCAACTCAGAAAAGGAAAAAAAAAAAAGATTCTATTTATGGAGATAATAGAGCACTACTATATTTACTAATATAAATTTTAGAAAACAAAATTAATGAAAATGACTTATTGGTATTTTGTTGCATCTAGCCTGTTTTTCTAGTGTATGTACAGAATACTTTTGTACTGAAGTTAGTGTTAACTTTTAGTTTCTACCTTTGTCAGAAGCCTAAGATTTTACCTTTTAAAAAGGTACCTAGTCCTTCCTTTAGGGGGAAAAGTCTTTTGGCTAATTAAGGTTTTGTATGTTTTATTTACTACAAAATCTTTTTTGAGGTATTCATTTGTTTTAGAAAATACAACCATTATATTGTCAGTACTTGGGTGCTATCATGGAGAGACCCCCAAGAGTTTGAAAATGAGAGGACATTTCCATATCAGAGTTAAGCTGTAGATGAAACACATCATGGATAAGTCGTAGACATGTCAAGTCCCCTAAGGGACACAGGATGGATCCTGAGTCATGCGGTGAGGCTCAATCTGCTCTTAAAAATGCAGGGTTGCTCTAAGGGTCAGGGACAAATGCTCAGTTACCCATGGCATGGTTCAGCTTGGTTATCAAGCATCACAATTCTGAATGGCTCAGGAAAAAACATTCTTTTGAGAGCTAACCATAATAAGAGTTGTCAAGCTTTGAAACTTTTATAAACTTTCAGTGAGTGAGAAGTTCTTGCTCTGTACAAAGTGAGTGGGGAAAGAAGCAGTTATTACCTGGGTCCCAGTTGAGAAAGTTTAATGGCTTGTGGTCTGACCATTCCCAGCCTCTAGCAGAGTACAGCTGATTTAAGCCAATCCAGAAGATCCTAGCAATGTCTTCTTTTTCTGTAAGAATTACTTAATTTTAAAAAGTGACAAAATTACCATAACTATATAAGTCAGACTAAGTTTCTACTAATAGCAAAAAAAAAAAAAAAGGAAAAAAATCTAAAGGACTTGATCGTAAGGCAGCAATCCCAGTAGGTCTATGCATCAAAGGCAGGCAATGCTGATAGACAACAAAACTTCAGACTCTTGAGAAACCCAAAGGCTGATAAGTTAATTCAATTCTGCTTTCTTATTAGATTGTTTAATTCCCTTTTTTCTAAGGTAAGAACAGAATCTCAGAGTAGCTATTTCATTATCTATTTCTAACTTTCTTATACTAATATAGAAGACTTATCAAAAGCAGTTTCCCTAATACTTTCAGATTTTGAAGATCTGGTTGTATTGCAGACTGACAATTTTTATACATTTTTTTGGAAAATTTACATTCATTAAGCACATACTATTTGCCAGGTATTAAGGTATAAAAACAAAAATGACAAAGTCCCTGTTCTCATGACAAATTCAGTCTAGTAGAAGGAAACAGATATGGATCCCCCAAGCGTAAAGTTTTTCTGGGATTGGGTCAGAAACACGTACGAGAGCTGTTTCATAGGCAATGGAATATATGGCTCTAGCATCCAAAGGAACATTTGGACTGGAGACACACACACACACACACACACACACACACACACACACACACACATACACACACACAAACACACACACACACACACACACACACACACACACGCATGCTACAGTGGAGATCCATCATTCAGATTTATTATTTGACAAGCAGATGCCATCAGCAAGAAAGACAGAGAAGCAGAAATAATTTAAATAGTGAGGCCAACGGCTGATATACCGCTCAATGTGCATATTCCCACACCAAAAAAAAAAAAAAAGGTGCAATCATGTTTACAGGGGCCCATGTATACTGGAAATTGAATGAAAAGAATGTGAGAATGATTGTACGGATTTTTAATACTATCTCAGAAGTCAACAGCATTATTCAGGAACCTGGTAAGACTTCACCAATATCACAAAGGAAGAATTTGAAAAATTAATCGAGGGCCAGGTAGAAGAGATAGGGCAATCAAAGTTATGTTCTACCAAAGACAAAGATGATGCCGACAAACAGGAGAAGCTAACAGGTTGCAATCTCTATAAATTGTTGAAATGTTGCCAGTAATAAAACACTTGATAATATCTTAATTCCTTTCAAGGAACTATGTATCATGTATAATTCCATCACACACACACACACACACACACACACACACACACACACACATATATATGCCAAAAATGTATACACATTTTAAGAGATGTTTTCAATGTATTACTTTTCAGAGTTGAATTGAATTACAGTACCAATGTATAGTATGACATTCATCAAACCACACTTCTGCCATTTTCTTTGACTGTCCTGCCTGTCGCATGCTGACACTAGCAGTCATTTGATTTTTTTTTTTTTTTTTTAGACGGCCGGAGTTTATCAAGAAGACAAAAAAGTGCCCAAGCGGGAGTGGACCTGAAAGAGGGTTGCCCGCATTCATTTGATTAATGCCATCTTTTAAGCAAGCATCATACTTAAAATGTATACACATTTTTTGGCACCCATACACATATGTATAAACTGTGGTTCGCATATAGAAACCATATCCATACTTTAAGGATTTTTAGAGGGTAATTTTGGTTTTACATAATCTTTGCTCTACTGACTTTAGAACCCAAATTCCTAAAACAGGTATCTCCCCTGGAACTGAAGCCCTGGGAGTGGGGAATCTTTCCTGAGAAGAGCAGAAATAGCAGCAATGAAGAGGAAATTGGCCATGAGTAGTAATCCCAACATCAATATTCAAGAGCCAGGAAGGAGCTTGGGAAGGGAGTAGTAGGGACAGAGGCGCAATTATTGCTCTACTAAGGAGGGAACTGCAAAGGAGCTTGGCTGTGAAAGAAAAAAGTAAGGCTGTAGTATCCAGGAATTATCTATAGTTTTTGATGGCAGAAGTTTAAACAACTTTCTAGCCATTTGGGGAGGAGTCAGTGGAATGAGTTAATGAAAATAGAAGAAACAGCTGACATGGATAAAAAGAACTAGGAACGAGTAGATTTAAAGACGCTGGAGGGATGACCATATATAGACACATTTGTAAGTATGGAGTGAGAAACTAAGGTTTATCTCACTTTTTTCAAGGAAATGGATGGTAAGAATACTAAGGAAGGAGAAGGTGAATATTTGTGTAGATGCCTCAAGGAGAATGCTGAAGGGAACTTTGGATTCATCCTTCTCTTTCATTGCCTATACATAAGCAAGGCTGCCAGCACTGATATACAAAGACCTGGAAGATTTGATCTAATACAGATTCTCCCTCATTACTAGAAGCAATTAATTTTCCAGCATTCCTAAAATAGTCCTGGAAACTTCAATGTATTTCTGGTACCCCAGACTCAACCATACCCTGATATTCAGAATTTCTTTCACTTATTTCCAAGGGGATTACTATGGAGGACCAATTCTTCTCATCCATCCCAAGTTCAATACCATACCTACTATGAAATCTTTACAGGTATCTCCCAGCAGGAAGTAATTGCTCCCTCTGAATAAGCCTATCACTTACCCACTCATGGTAAGTACACATTTACAGTGGAGCAAAATGATCTTTTGATGCTGATGTGCTCCTGATTGCTTCATTGCTGTGTGACTCTTTGTGGTCTGTACTAATAACTTCATTGAACTCATAGGATTTTAAAGTTGTGGCTGTGTGGTTCAACATGAATGTTCTTTATGTATCTTTTTGAAGAAGATGTGAATGGCAAATGGATATACTCTAAAGGTCCTGGTTGGCTAAATATGAAGGGCAGAGATTTTTTTTATACAGCTTGGACAATCTGGAGTGAGACTCTTTTTTTTTCTATGTACTGTCTAGGCAAGAAGTTGACCAACTTGAGACTATTCCTTCTTCCATTTTTGCCATCACGAGACCAATGATTGCTAGCATAAAACTTCTTACCTAATCGAATGGGTGAGTCCACTTGAGATAGATACTCCTTGATTGTCCCAGAAACCCCCTTTTAGACCTAACTCTCTACTTCCATTTCCTCTCCCCACAACGAGAGACCACAGGGCCTGATAATAGTCAGGCATCTGGAATGAGCTAGGGAAGACCTCTTCTAATGTATCAGAAAGGCTATAGCCAGTAGGGGCTCTAACCTACAAGTGTTCTAGCTTTGAGACACCTGTCGAGTTGGCTGAAGGCAAATAACTCTCAGGATGGAGGCAAATTAGAAAGAATGGAAATGTATTTGTCCTGCTCTGGAGATTGTTGACTCCTCTTTTGTAGCTCGGAGTGAATTGGTGGTTAGAGGTTTTGTGAAGGATAGAGCCATGGGAAATCTGACTCCCAAACATAATCCAGTGAGTACACAGAAACCAAATCTACCACCCATAGGCCCCATGTATTAGTACAACAAATGAAAACAAAACTAACTTGGTGCAGGGCAGGCAGAAAGTAAGAAGAAAGTTCTTTTAGACTGCATGGGGCTTATCTTCAAGGGGACTGCTTCCGGTTTTTGGTTTTTTTTTTCTGGCAGTACATTTTCTAGTCCCACCCAACCACTGACTACCAAACCCAGAGATTATTTGGGAATAACAGTTTCTATTATGCTCTGCTTAGGTACAATTCTTATTTCCTTGACTAGATTAAGTACTTTGATCACAAAATCTCTGTCTGATTCGCATCTCCTAGACCAATGTTTACATAGGTAGTGTTCAGTAAAGGGACACAATAAAAATTTCTTTTCCAGATTAGCATATAACAAATTTTAGATGTTAAAACACTTTCTTGGATCTTGGGAAACCAACAGTCATAACAAGACGTATTTATATGCCTAAGTAACTGTCATGCTGAAAGGGCAACTTGGAACATTAGAAATGGATACTGCTCTAAAACTAATGTTATGCATAAAATTTGTGGAGTGTTGGCCAGGGGTAGAGGACAATAAGGTCCTTTACCATACTACTTTATTTCCATAAGTTATTAAAGAAAATATATTCATAAACAATCATACAACATTTGTTCCTCCAAATGCATCATCATCAGGTTGTTTGGTAGGATGTTGATAGTCACACTTTGACACTTTTCTACTTCACTGAAGTCATCACTTTCCAAGTGTCAGTATTCTAGGAGACTTAAATGTATTGGTACTTTCTATTCTCAATGATATTTTTTTGTAAGTCTTCTGTGAGGTCTGGAATAGGATTCCACTGCCAAACACCAGCCCATTAGGCTTATTTGACAGATTCCCATTGTAGAGTCCTGATTATTCAAGTCCCAAATTATACAGGAAAAGGGTAAAGCTATAAGTAAGAAAAGAGGTCTGAATAAAACTGTAGCCAAAAAGAACAACAAACCAGTGGACTTTTAATGATAAAAAGAGATAAAGAAGCATGTAAGAGGAATAAGTAGTATAATAAAAAAAATAAGCCGGTAGTGGTGGCACAGGCCTGTAGTTCTAGCTACTCTGGAGCCTGAGGCAGGAGGATCGTTTGATATGAGGATTTCAAGGCTGTAGTATGCTATGATCATGCCTGTGAATAGTTACTGCACTCCAGCCTGGGCAACATAGCAAGACCCTGTCTCTAAAAAATAATAAATAAATAAATAAATAATTAAAAAGTAAGAGCTCTGCAGTTCTGTATGTTGATATTCAGACCCCAATTCTGGTACGTAGCTGTGTGATTCTGAATATGTTATTTCTAAGGATCAATTTCTTTATTTAGTGATAAAAACACTTGTCTTATGAGAGTGTAGTGATGATTAACTTATTTTTTGGAGAAATTATGACCTTGTTCATAGTTAGCATTTATCACATATTTACAGTCATTACAAAACAGTGTCACAGAATTTATATGAATTACTTAGTCAATACATATGTGTTTAATATATAGTAGTGAAGCTCACAGATTTGTGCAAAAATAAAAAATAAAAACCCATGAGACATATCTTAGCCTGCAAAGAACTTATAGTATTATAAAAGGTGAATCCTGGTACATGCCTGATACAACTTGTTTTCAAATTCAAATTTAGGCTCTGCTAATTACTTGTGGGTAACTTTTTCCAGTTATATTTCCTCTCTGAGTCTCACATTTCACATCTGCAAAATGAGCATAATAATAATGACCACTTCATAAAGTGGCTATATGGGATTAAATAAGATAATGTAAGAAAAGCATTTAATAGTCTGTCTGGAACATCATCATATGTTACTATCATTTTTTTCATCCAGAGAACTCAAGAACTCAGTAACTTAAATTTCCTGATTTTAAAATATATATAAAAATTTCTGTTTCTAAAGTTTTTAAAAAAAGATATACATGACTAATAGAAAAAGTCATAGAATTTTACTTAGTACATAAAAGAAGCCCTCAATAAATAGAAAGGCATACTGTTTTCATGGATAAGAAGACAATGTAGAGATAGCAATGTCTTTTTTTTTTTTGAATCAGGTTCTTAGTCTGTTGCCCAGGCTGTAATGCAGTGGCATGATCATGACTCACTGCCGCAGTCTTGACTTTCTGGGCTCAGGTGATCCTTCCACCTTATCCTCCTGAGTAGCTGGGACTACAGGCATATGCCACCATGATGCCCAGCTAATTTCTTATATTTGTAGAGATGAGGTCTTGCTATGCTCCCTAAGCTGGTCTTGAACTCCTAGGTTCAAGTGATCCTCCTGCTTCAGCCTCCCGAAGTGCTGAGATTACAGGCATAAGCTACTGAGCCTGTAATATTTTTAAAATTAATCTATAATTCAACACAATTCCAATCAAAGTCCCAGTAGAGGTTTTCATTGAAATTAACAAAGTAATCCTTAAATTCATATGAAAGAATAAATGGTCTCTTTTAGGTTATTTTCTATTCTTGTTTATATGATTTAGGTTTTTATAATTAAAAACTTAAAAATCACCACTACTATGCCCTGAGCAAAACAAAACAAAATCCTATTCACTCTATTGCCTCTGTTATTAAATCCTCTTTAAGATTTCTTAAAACTTTCCTGAGGACTACACTTCATCACTCAATGTGGCGACTTTTTCCTGAGGCTATCTAGTATGACTCAACCATCTTCTTTACCTTCCTTAAATTCTTTACTTTTCACTTTTTTCAGATACTTTCATTCAGAATTAGGATAGCCATTTAATCTTGCTACCCTGCCTCATTTTTTGAACATCCATCTCTCTTTAGTCTCTATCACAAAACGCATTTTCAGTGGATGAAATATGATTACACCCAGTACTTTTTTGCTTGTGGGCTTCAATGGTAAAGCTTAAATCCCAAAAGAAGTCAGAAAAGATATACACAAAACAACACATCAAGCTATAAAAATAGAAGTAGAAAGCACATTTACAATTTCAGCAATTTGCTTTACCTCTCGCAAACTAAACCTACCTTTAAGGTAAGTCAATTCAGCAGCACTGCTGATGCTCAGTAAGTCAGCTCCTTGATTCTGACATGAAACATAAGCTTCTTTCCAAGAAAGAGCTGCCTGAGTAATAAATTGGTAGCAACTTCCAACCTGCTCATTCTTTTCCCAATTATCTTCACAGCCATTTTCTATGGATAAAAAGATGTGTTAGTGATCATAAAGTAGGAACATAATGCTTTCTATTACTTAGAGTGTTTATAAATACTGCAATTCAATTTGCATACTCTTAGGCTACACCACAATAGAAGCTGCCATTGCTAGTCTAGACCATATTTGGATCCTTTGGTTACACAATAAAATTGTAGTCATAGCACACCAAATGACTTCATTTCTACTCTCCTTCATCCTCTGTCAATGACAAGGCCATGTTTTCTCCCATGTTCCTGCCTGCCCTCTGCCTGAAAGTAGGAGTCTCGGTGTGCACATGTTGTGAACACAGAGAGAATACAAAACAAGCTCACTTGAACATGGTTGCAGACTGCAGAGGGCTTGCTCACAGCCTGCAGAGAAGCCATTGCAGGAGTATTTGTGTGCACAGACATGCAGCTTCAATGGTTAAGATACAGAGCCCAAGTAATTACCTTGTTTAGAAAATGAATTCTTTTTTTGCCACCTTAATATTCTAATAAATAATTAAATATACATAATTAATATTATATAACACACATTATATATGTCTGCATATATTATATAAACATATGTATATTACACGATGTACATATTATATAACAGATATATAAAATTATGTGTAATTTCAGACGAAGAACCTGTAGGCTGTTTCCTAGATGACATATATAAGTTCTGAGAAAACACCTTCAAAAACATACTCAAGGTCTCTCATGTGCTACTAATAAGAGGGAAAATTCAGTGAAGGTTGGTCAAGTGTGTTCCAGGTTCTCAGGGGGTTTACAAGGAACTTTCTACAACCAGTTACATATCAGATGATGACTCGTGAACCTATAAGCTGGAAGGGCCTTGAGAGGTCATCTTGTCTAATGCCTTCATTTCACAGATAGGAACAAAGGCCTAGAGGTGATTGTGGCAGAGCTATAATCAGAGAATTGGTCCCTGAGGCTGGGCTTGTTGATCCTCTTAATGGTATACACTGCTTCATCAGCCATTTTTCTATGGCATAAATAGCAACAAGATTGTGACATTTAGTGAAAACAAAAACTAGGTGGATTTGCAAGCATATTGCTTTAAGTTTCATTATTACCACTGAGCTCCTATGCTTGTAAATTCAGAAGTGGGATGACTGTGTGTTTGCTATACAATACACCTTCATAATCTAGCAGTCCTCAAGTTTGAGAAACTCATAATCTTGTTTCTTCCATAAAAGGTAATTCTGGGAGGCACATGAATGCATTAACAACCTCCTCCCCCACCCCACTCACCCACCAAGATACATCCTAATGGGCTAAAGGCACCAAGATACAACCCAATCAAGGTGGCAAGGTAGAGTGGGGTTAATATGCTGGGGAACGAGGATAAGGAATCCTGGGTTCTCAATCCAGGCCCCGCATGAATGTGGCTGACTCCGACAGGCCATTCCACCAATCTGGGCCAGCTTCCTCTCACCTGAGAAATAGCAGTTTGCATTAGATAAGCTCTAACCTCCCTTTCACATCTGAAATTTCTGATCCACTATAGTGAGAGTTAAATGACGCTGATACCTGGTTGGCCAAACTCTACTTGTTGCCAACTATGGCTAAAGCAAATATTGGTTTTTACGATTTCATTATATTTTATATAACTTCCAGATGTTGAGAAGCCTGGGCCTCTACCTAGATAAGAAATTCTCAAAGTGTGGTCCCCAGACCAGCATCAACAGCATTACCTGGAATGTGTTAAATTTGGGGGCCCCACTGTAAACCTACTAAATGAGAATATCTAGGAGTTAAATCCCGAGAGGAGTTAGAAAAGATATACACAAAACAACACACCTGGATATAAAAATAGAAGTAGAAAGCACATTTACAACTTTAGCAATTTGCTCTACCATATGCAAACTAAACCTACCTTTAAGGTAAGTTAATTCACCAGCACTGTTGATGCTCAGCAAGTCAACTCCTTGATTCTTACACGAAACAAGCTTCATGGACCTAGCAACCTGTGGGCCCTAGCAATCTGTGTTCTAACAAACCCCTCAAGGGATTCTGTTGCACTCTGAAGTTTGAGAATAATTGGCCCAGTATAAACTCTTTAAACTGCTCAGAACTCTGCATTTTGAGGCTCAGAGTCTCTTAAGGAGGGATCGGTACTAATACCATCAGGCGGAGCTACTCAACAAGGCAGAATAGTGTAGCTGTTTGGGGCAAAGACTTCACAGCCACATTTTCTGGATTTGAATCCTAGTTCTGATATTTACCAGCTGTGTGATCTTAGGCAAGTTATGCAACTCCTTTATGCCTTACTATGCTCATCGGTAAAATGGGGATAAAATAATGGTATCTGCCGTATCAGGTTGCTGTGAGGATTGAATGAGTTCATGTATAAGTTTAGACCTTAGAATAGTACCTGACACCTGGCAGGGCCCTGTAAGTGTTAACTTTTTTATTCCTTAGGTCTGGAGCTCTTTCCTGTCTCTTTGCTATAGATAATTTTAACCTACTGTCTATTAAATACTATTTCTTGAGCACCTATCACATGTCAGGTACTGTGATTCCCTGTAACTTTCATCTAATTGGGAAAAACTTGTCTCGGTTATATGCGAGATAATGATACAACTTCTACTTTGGTCTCTCCCTCTCTTTTTAAAAAATAGTGAATTATTCAGTACACCCTGAATGGTTTGTTTCTAGTAAAAAGCAACTAGAAAAAGTGCTTTGACCAACACATAAGAATGGCAGAAGGAATAATGTCACCGATTTTGAGAGAGCCAGGAATATCTATCTCTTTTCTCTTCTACTCTTTGTTTCAGGCCATACACATATTTAAGCCTTCACCATTCCAAAAGTCTCTTTTGTTTTTTTTTTTATAACTTATCTCCCCCCCAAAACTGCTGTTTTCTCTATTAAATAAAAATTATAAGAGTCTATTATTTTGGATTAAGTTCCTCTTCTAGGCCCCAACCAGAGCATATCAAAAATAAAAATGGAGTCACCCATGCCAAAGTGTCACATCACCAAACTGAATCTGAGTTGTGATCTGGCCTGTAAAACCAGAAGACAGCAAAAGCAGCCTAACTTCTCAAATAGGTCAGTTTCAATCTTTAATCAGCATGATAATCAAGTTGTCTTTCCTTTAATCCTTAACCTAAAGTCACCCGATGTTTACCAATCAGTTATTTCTCTATTGTTCTGTCTCCCCGTCCCCATCTTACAAGGAAAGTAACTTTAAAATGACCAATCCATTTTTTGTTTTTGCTTTCTTCAGCCCTTTTTCTGTCTACAAAGCCAACCTCTTCTGCTTGACTCACAGTATTTTATTTTATGGAATAAAGTACTATTTGATTCTAGAATGGCAATAAAGCCAATGGAGATCTCTTAACTATATAAATTTGCTGTAATTTTGTACCTTGCCAACTCTTTTTTTTAAATTTTCCATGAAACTTAGGAGGCTTACTTCCTTCTGTTCATACTTCAGTCCACTATCATCCAGCTTCTCCCGTTAGTCTTCTAAAGTTGCTCTACTAAAGGTCAGCAGCAATTTCCTAATTGTACCTACCTTTCCCACATCCTCTCCCCGGGGTGTCTGTGCTATTGAACACTTTCTTCTCCTTTGTCTTCCATGACACCATCAGTCCTTGTCCACTTCCTGACCTGCTTCTGAACGTAAATTCATAGCTACACATTTTTTTCCTCTCCTTCTCCAAACATACATTTATTTCTAGGATAATACTTGTTGCAGTCACTTTTGAGTCACACTGAACAGACCTTCCTTCTCCCTTTTGCCTCATATAAATGGTACTCTCTTTTTACACATACACTTTATTAGACCACACATACCTGGTTTTAAGCAGATGCCCCACTTTCGATCGTATTCATAATTTAAGGTGGTGGCACACCATGGCTCATTATGATCTTCATCAAGAATGCACTCATGATGCCAGGTCCCATTAATTAAGAAGGGAAATTCACAGGGTCTCCCATAGGAGTTTCCATCTCTGGTATACATCTCTGTGGGTTGGAGAGGAAGTAGGAGAAGAGAGAGTTAAAAACTGGATAATCAGCTTCAGTTAGCTGATTTCCAAAACCATTTTTTGTTTTTTTAAAAAAAGATCGTTGTTTTCATTTATGAGAATACGCGATATGAGTAGGTTGCATAGTGTGGAAATTAAGAGCATGGATGCTGACTGTTAAGGACTTGAACGCTACCTCCCCTCTGACCCACTGTGGGTCACTGACCTCCCCTCTGACCCACTATGCTTTCTAAACTCTATTAGCCTTAGTTTCCATCTTTGCAAATTGGGAATAGCATTCATGAGATGATCTATGTAAAACCTCACTTACTGTGGTGTAATGAAGAGCTGAAAGAACCTGGCTTGATCTAGGGAGAGTCTACTAACTCTGCTGTGGGTGGCAGAGTACTTCATCAGAAACAATACCCTGACCAAGATGGAATTTACCTCTACTTTCCTTTCTTTAGTAATTGTCAGGGCAGAAAAATACCTTGGAATCATTGAGGGTGGGTGTGGATTTTGGAACCACTTGTGTAGTTTGAGAGATGGACAAATAGTCCCATTGTTCAGAGATTGGAGATAGAATTGAGACAAGGGGTTTTGAGGAAGTGAGAAGTAGAGTCAATGAATCTCTGATTAGATTGCTCAGGAGGGGAAGGCCATGGTAATTCAGGTTATGAAATAAGAACCAGCTTCAATGAGGCAGTCTTGGGACAGTTGGTGGCCAGAGAGGTAGTAGTTGTAGCTTTTATTTTAAACAATTTCCCAGGAACATGAAGAGGAACCTAAGAGTGATTCCAATCTCAAATATGCCTGGAAATGCTAGAGGAAGTGCTTGATACTTATTGCAACGATATTTCTCTTGAAGATGTATTTTCATAAAATAGCTAACCCTGTTTCTATTTCTGTCACATTTTTCTATGTCCTCAATTTGTTTAAAAATCTGACCATTAACAGATCAAGTAATGGTTAAGGTAAAGCACAGTAATCAGATCTCATCACCTTTCCCAGGATATTAGTGCCCCACAGAATGTTTCACAGATTTGCTCAAAATGTTTCACAGATTTGTATTTGATTCTATATTCTTTATTATTTTCAAGTGTTCATCTAACGGAAGTGTGAGACTTACTTTAATAGTTTGGAATGTATTAAATATCAGTACAGCAAAAGGTAAGAGTAATCTGGATGCTTTTCTTTTATGGATTACTGGTTTTGTCTTCCTATGTCATATAAATGGTTTTGAAAAGGGTACTTCTGTTAAAGAGTATGTTGACCTTATACTTGATAAGGATCCTGCTTATAATCTATGTTCTGGGTCTAACCACACCAAAAAATCCCCAGTAGCTCATGATCAACCTCTCTCCCCATATTACGACATAAAGAGGACAGTCCCTGAATACAAGAACTGTTTCTTATAGAATCATCAGTTTTCTAGACCCTTTTATTTCTGGAATACAAAGTGTTTTCATATATATATTTCTTTCACTCGTCCTTTACTATAAATCTGTGAGATCTTAGGGAAGTATTATTTGTGAAATCCCCATTTCAGCTGTAAGTGACAGGGATGAGAATAGGCTCTCTGATTAGAGTCCTTGACACACAAGGACAACTTGTGACACCAATGGCTTTAAGTTACATAGCTTAAAGCTGGGCTTCAATTAAAAAGCTTTTTCAGTCACAATATATGCTTTGAAAAATGATAAGCATACAGCAACTGCCACAACAGAAGCAGCTACAGTATGCTAATTGTTTACTAAGAGATTTCCTTGCTGTTGCTGGATCTCTTATTTCCCATGTGCTTCCTTAGGAGCACAGGCTTTCCTGAGGAGCGTCTTCTCTGAATGTGTGAATTTATGGTGACAGTGTACTTAAAACAATAGCTTATTATGCAATAGGTACAAATTTGTGAGATGAGGTGATTACACAGAAAACTAGCAAATTAATTTCTTCAGCGTGAGACAAAATAGCTTCGAGGGCTAAAGAGGTTGGCAGGCTTCAACGAGTTGCACAGGAGTTCAGATAGTTCTACAGCCACTCCTCCACTGCAAGTCTGTTTCCTCTACAGGATTCACCAAACATTCAAAATTTGAAGAGCGCAAAGTGAGGCAAGATACCGTAATGATATAAATGCATACCTGAGTGCTAGTCCAAAGCAGTTAACTCATAAAATTTATACAACTTAAGTTTTCTCTGAGACGAACGTGACCTATATAGGATGGGGGTTGAGGTGAGAGGCAACCCAGGACACAATGATAAATAAACATTATTATATTAGAAGTCGTTTTTTTATGTTGCAAAAGCCAAGGAATAAAGAAGCTATAGTTGGAAGAAGGAATCCTGGTTTTGAGCCCTGGTTTTTAACAAGCTGGATAACCTTGGACTTCACTTTCTTGAGACTTGGGTATCTTATCTTTCTTATTTTTATACTTCTAGATAAGAAGGGAAGGGGGGTGGGCAGGGACCAGTGTCAAGGGTCTGAGAGAGCAGTCTTAGAGAAAGCTCCTAACTTAAGGTAGCAGTCCCTGACCTAAGAAGAAGAAGGGACATATATAAATTTTGAAAAGGTAGAATTACCAGGACTTGATATATGATCAAGTTTGAACGGTGGGAAAGAAAAGCAGGAAAACTCTAGGGTGACTTGCAGATTTCTGACATGCAGAACTTAGGTGGGTACCAATCATGTAGAGAAAAATAGAGCAGAGGTGGTAGGTTTAGCCCTGGCCTCTGTGCAAATTAAAAATCTGAGGTATGCCTTGACTAGTCAAAGCTATATATGCCTTTGTTGTTGTTATTAATTTAGTGTTCCGAATATTGTATGTGGAAAGGTCAAGAAACACTTTACGCCTGTGGGCTTTGCTGGTGGCACTGTTTAGCTCTCTCTTGGACGGTTCCCTGGGTGAGATCTTTACCTTTTTTGTGACACTGATGACTTTGGCAGGTTTGTGAAACCCAAGAATCCCTTCTCAGCAGAATACTACAAATGCATAGATAAAACACATAGGATAAAAAAAAGAAAACCAGATATATTGAAATGAAGACACTCTGGAGACTGTTTAAGGGAGTTTGAGATGACAACTATGTCCCTCAAAAGTCCATAATCAGCTCTCCCAAAGGCAATAGTCATAACAATTATTTTTGGAAGCAATTGCGGAAACATCCACTTTTATTTTCATCTTTTTTTTGAGTTGGAGTCTCACTCTGTTGCCCAGACTGGAGTGCAGTGGCCGCTCTCGGCCACCGCAGCCTCGACCTGCTGGGCTCCGGCGATCCTTCCGCCTCAGCCTTCCAAGTAGCTGGAACTACAGGTGAGCTCTACCACGCCCGGCTGATTTTTTGATTTATTGTAGAGATGAGGTCTCGCTGCCCAGGTGGGTCTCAAACCCGCAGGCTCAGGCAATCCACTCACCTCAGCCTCCCAAAGGCGCGGGATTACAGGCTGAGCCACCGAGCCTGGCTGAAACGTCCACTTTTAAAATGCTGAATCATAAATATAAACATCAAAATGTGATTGCCATGCCCAAAATGAAAATAAATAAACAAATCCACGTGAAATTTAAAATGTTCCTATTAAGCTGGGCTCGGTGATTCAGCCTCTGATCCCAGCACTTTGGGAGGCTGAGGTGAGTGGTTTGCCTGAGCCTGTGGGTTCAAGAACCACCCAGGCAACTTGGCAACACCTCATCTCTACAATACATCAAAAATTAGCCAGGTGTGGTAGCACGCTCCTGTAGTTCCAGCTACTTGGAAGGCTGAGGCGGAAGGATCACTGGAGCCCAGCAGGTCAAGGCTGTGGTGGCCGGGAGCATGCCAGTGCACTCCAGTCTGGGTGCCAGAGTGAGACTCTAACTCAAAAAACAAAAATCAAACAAAACAAACAACAACAACAAAATTTTCCCATTGTATCAAAATCTGTAGGCAAGGAAATTCTGCCACCTCCGCCACTGCCTCCTCCTTCTCCTCCTCCTCCTTCTCCACTCTACCTCCTCCCTGTTCTAGATGGGTCTCACTATGTTGCCCAGGCCGGAGTACAATGGCTATTTACAGGCATGACCATAGCTCAGTGCAGCCTCAAACTCCTGGGCTCAAGTGACCCTGCCACCTCAGCCTCCTGAGAAGCTGAAACTACCCGTGTGCACCACACTGTGCCCGGCCTTTCTTCTTCTTTTTAAACTTAGAATAAGATCAACATTAATAGGTCATTTGCCTTTTAGCCTGTACAAAGGATTTCCTGTTAATCTAACAGTTCCTTTCTTCTATGGTTCAGAAGGTCATCATAAAAAGTATATATGCTCAGATATTACAGCCTACTTTTTAGAGACCAGAGAAGGTATATAGTAAATAAGTGAACTTTAGATTGAAACCCAAAAGTCTGGCAGGGGTTAGACAGGAGAAGAGTGAGGGAAATTGTTCCATACAAATGAAGCAGCATATTTGAGGTCATGGAAGCCAAAATGAACATGGGCACTAATAAGGGTTTTGATGGTTTTAAACTATTGTCTCTAAGTGTTAAGTTTTATTTCCTTCAAATGTGTGCCTTGAGGATCTAGAGGTACACAAAGAGTTTTTAGTCTATAATATTATGTTTACTGTATAGTGGCATCATAATTTATTTTTGCATAACCTTACTGGTAAATATGTATTTACTATGTATTCGCTTTTAGAAGCAATGTTATTGTCATTATCCTGTACACATTTGTACACTTGTCCATTTACTTACTTACAATATATTTCTGGTTATGGAATTTCTGATTCAGGTGGATTTTCAGATTTTAACTTTGGTGCATATATCCAGCCTGCTTTCCTTGAGTGGCTGTAATTTCATAGCAAGCATTACCAGCAGCGAATGGAGAGTGACTGTTTTGCCACATCTACACCTGCCTTAAGTATTGTTAAGCATGTTTAAAAAAAAAGAAGTAGATATGCTCAGACATCAGATAGATTTCAAATCCCAGGTTTACCACAACATGGCTGTGGGACCTCTGACAAGGCACTTAACCTCTACTAGCCTTACCTGCAAAGGTGGTGGAGGGTAGAATACCATTGATCTCACAGGTGTGTGGTAAGAATGTAGCTCAAAGTAACTGCACAGTGCCTGCAAATGAAGAGCTTGCTCACTGCCCTTACCTGTGTACGACTCTATTTTTACTCAGTTGTACATGTTCAATGCCACATGTGACAAGCACAACAGCAAATGGGTCAAAGTCCCTCTCCAGTACTCACCATGGTAAGGCTGGTCACAAAGGCTTTCCTCTGAGCCTCCTTTCTTCCAGACATCAGATGCATTTGAGGTTGCTATGGCATGTCCATTCTTCATAGCCAACCTGTACTGAGCAGCACCATACAGAGAGGAGTGCTCACATTTCCACCACAGCATAGCATTGGAGTCACAGCTGAACAATCTCAAGAAGTCTGTGGGTTTGGTAATATCTAGGCCGAGACACTTCTGGGATTGCAAATGAAAGAGTCGATGCTGGGACACCCACTTCCATAACATGTCCCTGGTGTCATCACAGTCCGCTGCTACTACCCAGTCATATACTGGCTTGATGCACTTGCCCGTGTTTCCATGGACAATGGTGAAGGGATCATTACCTGAGTCAGATGGATAGACATGTCAGGATCCTGAATTATGTGGTCAATGTGCCTTGCTCTCTGCTCGTTGAGGAGAGTCTGAGCACGGCTGGACTGTCTCTACCCTCAGAGCTTTACAACTGTAATGTACCTCACAAGGTAGGACAGTGGTGGCAGAGAGGTAGGACAGCATGTGGGGTAACAGCAAGAACTCTGGAGCTGGTCTGCCTGGGTTCACATTCTGCCTCTGTTACTTATTAGCCACGTGATTGGGGCACATCATTTAACCTCTGCACTCCAGATTTCTCATTTATAAAATAGTATCTACTTCATATGGTGGGTGAGAGGATGGAATAAGCTAATACATGTAAAGTACTTAGATATGTACTGTGTATATTTGTTATTGCTATTCCATGAAAGACTCTACCATCCCCACCCCTCCTCGTTTAATAAGCTAGAGAAATTCCTTAATTTTCATTTTCCTTAAACAGATAGTCTATGGTCAATGTTTTCATTGACCTGGGCCTATTTGGGACCACAATTCTATCTTGCTTACACTTTAACTAGTATTGCAGAGTAAATCATTACATGAAAATTGGCGCTTTGTTCTCACTGTGTGCTCCTTTCTCCAGATTCAAGGATGTAATCAGGACTCTGTGCTCCTCTACATTAGGGTAAGTTAGCGTGGCCAATAAAAAAGTGAATTTACTTAAAGATATCCCCACTCTGGGTCTTTTGTGGAGGCCTAAATTCACTGCATTGTCTCAGAGGAAATGGAGAAACTTCTGAGGGAGCAGAAGTAGAACAGTGAGGTACAGGAATAAGAGGAAATGGAGGGTAGGGGGAATCTATGGTATGCCCTATTGCAGTACCCTTGGGAAGGTGACCAGACTTAGGGAGGGACTGGGTGGATTGACTGTGTGGGTCACCTAAGGAGGCTGAACCCTGAGCTCCAGGAATCACTCAAGCCACCAGATTCAAGATGGTGCTCAGGGCACTCAGAAATAACCAGCAGGATCTGGAGACTAAAAAGGAGAAACCTCCCTAAATGTTTCCCCTGGGACTTTGCACGAGCTGGAAAGACCCCAATAATGACACAGATATTGACATTCCGCCAACCTGGTGGAATAGGAATGCAGAATCAAATTTATCTTGATTTTCTGAAAATAAAGTAATGGATTGTTTCTTGTAAGCCTGGGTTTGTGGAGTAAGATTCACATCTGTTACAACAAATTATAGTCAAACAATTTGGTCAGTTCTTTAAAAATTTTTTAAAACAAGATTCTTATGTTGATAAGAGAAAAATGGAAATATTTTAACCAAGATTAAACATTTACTGTCAATGAACTAGAGTTCATCAGAAAGATCCATAAAAGGCACTTTCATTTTGATACCAACTTCACAGTCCCTGGTTTTACGAATACTCGATGTCCTTTTTAGTAATAATTCAAAGGCTTTCAGAACTAAAAATTCTCATATCAGAAACTGGTGACTTGAGGGAAATTTTACCATGTAAATAATAACTATAAAATTAAGTCTGATTGCTGTTTGAACTTTGGATGGAATTTTTTGTTTTAAAGAACAGCAGCATTAACAAGAGAAAAAACAGGAACAACAACAAAAACCCTTTAAAGCTTTAAGATATTTCTGCTTTCAAATTTGAATTTTAATAAAAATAAAATAAGAATAAAAAATATGGCATGAGGCTCCAGCTAGATATGTTTGCCATAGCAGCTTTCATCCCTCGCTCTTTCTTCTTTGCTATCTCTCTGCCATTCTCTACTTTTTTTTTTTTTTTGCATCAGGGTCTCACTCTGTCACGTAGGCTGGAGTGCATTGGCATGATGACGGCTCACCACAGCCTCGCCTCAACCTTCTGGGCTCAGGGGATCTTTCTCTCTCAGTCTTCCAAGTAGCTGGGATTACAGGTATGCACCATCACAACTGGCTAATTTTTGTATGTTGCCTAGGTTGGTCTTGAACTCCTGGGCTCAAGCAATCCTCTCACCTCGGCCTCCCAAAGTGCTGAGATTATAAGCATGGGCCACTGTGCCTGGCTTGCCATTCTCTGCATGATGGTAGTTGGGAGGACAGTCAACAAAAAAGGAAAATGGTCTGTCTCATAAGATTGCCATTCACACTCTCTCTTTTTTTTTTTGAGTTGGAGTCTCACTCTGTCACCCATACTGGAGTGCAGTGGCCGCTCCCAGTCACCGCAGCCTCGACCTGCCGGGCTCTGGCGATCCTTCTGCCTCAGCCCTCCTAGGAGCTGGAACTACAGGCGCGTGCTACCACGCCCGGCTAATTTTTTGATTTATTGTAGAGATGAGGTCTTGCCAAGTTGTCCAGGCGAGTCTCGAACCCACAGGCTCAGGCAATCCACTCACCTCAGCCTCCCAAAGGTGGATTACAGGCTGAGCCACCAAGCAACTCTCTTTAATGTCCTTCTTCCACATACTCAATAACCACTCAGATCTCGGATCTACTTTTCCCCCAAACTATTCTCTGTTGTCTCTCCAAATAAATCTTGTATTTCAAAGTATCAGAAATTACAACAGAAAAAAAAGAAGTCTGCTCCTGCAGGAGATGTAGTCATCACTCTTGTTGGAAACATACCCTCCCCTCCTTTGTAGTCTCACTGCTCTCTTTCCCAGGCATTCTGCTCTGTGCTCCTTGACCCAAACAGGTCAACTGGGAAAGCAGCAGCTTTGTCATCCTATGTACTTTGGAGTTTGAGATTTTTCAAGATGACTGCAGACTCCGATGGATTAGCTACAACTCTTAGTATATTGGAAATAGTAGTGGAATACAGAGCTAGGGGTCCTGGATTAAAGACCCACCCCTGCTACCAGTTAGCTGGGAGAACATGTGGAAGCCACTTAATCTCCCAGGGTCCTCATATCTTCAAATGTAAGAAGAAAGTATAAGCTATCTTAGCCACTTCCAGCACTAACATCCTATGCTTTCACAAGTAACCGAACCCTTAGCTAGCCTGCCAGGTCTTACTAACCTTTACCAAGGCCATTGTTCAAGAACAATTTCTTGAACAGATGTCTATAACTTTCTTATGTCATGCTGCTGCTAGTAGCATTTCAGGTCATTCTAATCTCACTTGCATTGGGCATGGGCACTTAGGTTACAGTGCTGCTTTATAAATAGTCTTTGGGCCGGGCTTGGTGGCTCAGTCTGTAATCCCGCGCTTTGGGAGGCTGAGGTGAGTGGATTGTCTGAGCTCGCGGGTTTGAGATCCGCCTGGGCAGCGAGACCTCATCTCTACAATAAATCAAAAAATTAGCTGGGCGTGGTAGTGCGCGCCTGTAATTCCAGCTACTCGAAAGGCTGAGGTGGAAGGATCGCCGGAGCCCAGCAGGTCGAGGCTGCAGTGGCCAGGAGTGGCCACTGCACTCCAGTCTGGGTGACAGAGTGAGACTTCAAATAAAAATTAAAAAAAATAGTCTTTGGAAGAGAAAAAATATTTCTCCCATTTTCTACACATTTTGACTTCTGGGACACCTGTGGACTTGGCCTCATGGGAATTCTGAAAGACTACAGAAGAAGTGTGGAGTAGCATGGAGTGACTATGTTAAAGTGAAGTTACTGAGCTTCTGAACAAATTGCAAGATCTCTGAATATAGGTACTCCCCTCAGGCTAAAACCGGTGTTTGAACCAAGTATGCAATTTCAATGTTTGATCATTATAGTGGTCACTTAGTACAGATATTTATTGTTGATATACTTTAAGCACACTTATGAGCCTTCATATATAATGTATGTAAAGCATTCATACATAATACATTAGCTAGGGAGAGTCTTGTCCTCTCCTGATGTTTTCCCATATCTTTCTTTACCTTAGCAGGAGCTGGTCAACATCTGCCTCAGTTTTATGATCTTTATGGAGGTGGTAGGTTGAAGAGTGGGAAGGAGGATTGAGAAAATGCAAAAATAATTCCTTATTTAGAAAATTGGTCAGCTGGGCACAGTGGCTCAGGCCTATAATCCCAGCATTTCAGGAGGCTGAGGTGGGAGGATCGCCTGAGCCCAGGAAATTGAGGCTGTGGAGAGTTGGAATCATACTACTGCACTCTAGTATGAGTGACAGCATGAAACCCTGACTCAAAAAAATAAAATAAAGCAAGACAGAACATTTGTTATATAAAGGTATATAAGCTATTCTAAAAATGTATTACATGGGCAACCCCCTGGAATCCCTTCAAGGGGGAGTTTTTCCGTCTTCTCAATGCATCCTGCTTTCTCAAAAAAAAAAAAAAAAAAAATATATATATATATATATACACATATATTTATATATATTACACCTTGAAAAGATAATTACAAAGCAATTTATAAAACAGATCTTTTGATGACATTATATTGCATGTTGTTCATGTCACTTTATATCAGTCTTCAGTGAGTTTTAATATTTACCTCCAAATACAATATTGAGACAAATCTAAAAGTCAGAGGTTGATGAAAAGAAGCCTCATTACCCCAGATGCACTTTTTATATGCTTTATTTTATACAGACTTTCCAGTGGTGTTTGAGGGAAAAATGGTTAGGTAGTATCATCATAAACTGAAAGTAAATTTTTAGCATTTTTGCATCCATCAAAGGAAAGCCATCTCTCTCAGTGCTTTCTCATTGTCTGTAAATAACTCCTGTCTTATAAACCCTAGACCAAAGAGCTTTGCACACTTCAAAGAGAAGTTAGGTACTGAGGTTTATAACCACAGACAATTGGTGAGGAAAATGGTGTGGGGAGGCAACAAGGAAGAAGACTGCAGCATTTATAGGGGAACTTTATTATGTCATGCTGCAGGGGAACTTCCACAGCTCACATGTTAAGGTTTTTGTGGAGTCTCTACCATGTGTGCAGAGTGCATAGGTGCAACAGGAAAGAATCAGAAGTCTGGGCTTGCTAGTTGAAAAGCAAATCCTAGAAGTGACAGAGTCCTTGGCAGTCTATCAGGAGTCAGAGAGTCTTCAAGCACAGATTCGGCTTGAAGGGCTGATGAGAAGCTCAGGAATCTCTGTAGGATGGGTTTACTTCAAGCTGTTAGCTCTTCAAGCAGCCAAAAAAGTAAACTAAGCACTTGACTTCTCCCCAAGGACACAGAGGTGCTCCTTCAGCATTTGGGTGATCAAGACCACCTGCACAAGCCTAGCCATGCACACGTGATGAGGCGTATGCCATCGCTAGCATCGTGAAGCTGACACACTGCCAAACAAGTTACCCAAATGACTGGGGGTTCAAAATTCCAGTGTTTCCCCTAATAAGGTCATAAGTCTGGTATGAGGGTAAGAGAAAGCAGACCAGAGCAGCTGCTAGGAGTAAGGAAGGATGCAGGAAAACAAAAACCTGTGGGGACCTAGTGTGGAGAGAAGAGAGTTAGACCTGGTGGTGCTCTTGGTTTGGGTAGATGAGAAAGGACAGAGACTGTAGAGACTGCAAGAATTAAAGAAATCTTGAATTTTGTGGAGGAGACAGGATTAAAGCAGATGTAAATGGAAACCAAGAGGTTAGTGGTTGAAAGGTCAATGCATTTTCACTAGTTAGCTGCTACAGTAAAATTTTTCTTCTCGAATTGTGGGGCAGGCAGAATAGAATTCTCACAGCAATAATTGATCTTATTATTGATGACTCTTTGGTAGTTCCCAGCACAGAGAGCCAAAGAACGGCCAAGTGTGAATCAGCGCAGGGTCCATTTAAAGGTCCTTGATGTAGAAAGGCTGTTGGCCACTCACACTCTGGGAGCCCTCTTCTCATCACTCTCTGAAGAAAGTCTAAACCAGATGGGAACTTAGCTGCAAAGAAAGTAAGAACTACAAACAACCGAACGCTTTCCAAACCGATGGGGCCGGCTTTTCCTTCCTTATACAGGCACGATCACAGAAATAGTGGGTGGGGACGGCCCACAGATTGCACTTTATGCAGCCCAAAGAAGACACAGAGTCCTCATCACACCTTTGGCTGAGGCAAAAAGTGAAAGTAAAAGCGAGATCCGGTTGCTGCCAAGGGGCATGGAGGGACTGGCACCACCCCGAACACCTGCGAAGGGCGTCTGTCCCTGGCCCTGCTTCCGCGGTGTGAGGCCACAGGTCCCCAAGCAAGCGGCCTGCGCTCCAGCGTGCGGCTGTCAGCCCTGCGGGAGAGGGAAGGCCCTCGTAACAGACTCTCGGTCTTGGCCACTTTGGCCGCTGACTTCCTTTCTGGCGCGCAGCGTGGGCTCCTTGAAGTCGGGGAACTAGTAGGAGCCCTCGGGGCTGTGGCTGAGGCTCCTCCATACTGAGGGGCCACGGTGACTCCGGGGCGAAAGAGCGCGAGGACAGGCAGGATGGGGCACAGGGGGAGGTGGAGAAGCCCATACTCTAGGGAGGCAACATTTTCGAGGAGACGACGGGGAAGGGTGGGGAGACCCCAGAAAAGACTGCGCGCCTCCCTACGGCGGACCCCGTCCGCTGGGCCCCAGACAGGCCCTGCGCGCCACGACCCGCCGCGCCCTCTTCCCGGCCCGAGGGCTATGGGGCGCCGTCTCCGCCTGCCCGCCCCTTCGGCTTTCTCGCCCGGCTCCAGAGCCGCCTGAGCCAAGCAGCCGTAGCCAGGCCGGGCGCACAGCCGCGACCCGGGGGAGGAGGCTCCGCAGACCTGCAGCGTCCAGACCCCCAGCGGACAGGCCCGCGGACGCGCCCACGGTTACCTGCGCGGCCAGCGGGCTCCGCCAGCCCGAAGCATCGGAGGAGCAGCACGAGGAGCCCCGCCGCGCGGCGAGGGGTCGACCTGCGCGTCCCCATCCTGAGCGGGCCCGGGCGGTCCGACTCGGTCTTCGGGCGCACGCGGCACCGACCTCCCCTGTGGAACCCGGCCGGCGGGGCTCTCGCCTCGGTCCCCGGCCTCCTGGGGCGCCGGCCCCGCCCCGCCGTCCTCGGCCAATCAGACGCGCGTCTCTTCGGTCCCGGGACCCGGCGGGGCGGCGGCGGCGGGGAGGGCGGCGGCCCGGGGGGCGTCCTGGACACCTGCGTGGGGTGGGACCAGCGAGGAGGCGGCAAGTGCCGGTCGAGAGGGCCAGCGTCGCGGAGGCTACTGGAGGAGCGGGCCCCGCTCCGCGCCTCTTCAGCAAAGCTGGGGAGATACGGCCCTGGCTGGGACTTGGCACCGCCCTGGTGGGTGGGTTCGGTCCACGGGACCTTGCCCTCTGCCTAGCGCACCCGACTCGGAGAAGACTTCATTCCAGCATGGGCTGGAAAGGCAACCGCATCCCCTCCTACCTCAAGAGGAAACGCGCCGCAGCCGTGTGGTGGCTACGGCCGAGCCAGAGAATTCAGTCGTCCTTAGCAATGTCTTGGGTATTTTCAGAGAGCAAAGGTGAGATAATGGTACACTGCGGTTGATAAAAAATGAAAATTGAGAATTATCTGAGTGATACTACGATACTTCCAAAGATGATTTAAGCTTTGTAGCCATTTGACCTTTGCAATTAGACGCTTTTCTTAATAATTTAATATTCATCATAAACCAGTAGAAATGTAGAAGTCTGTACCCAGAACCAGACATTGTAAGTCCCACTTACTGTTTTCCTGTGGACACCACATAGGCCAAGGGTCCTGGTGACCTAACTTGCTTGGATGTGAATGTTTTATATTTTTAACCCCTGTATTTACTGAACACATGATATGTTTTTGAGATGTCCTCCATCCTCACGAGGATGCAAAGACCTAGGTTGCTCTTCCTGATTGCAACTGCCAAGGCTTCGGGATGGCTCCCGAACCTGCCCTAGCTCTGTCATCACCCGAGGCTCTGGCCTTTTGGTTCAGTAGATTGAGTGAACACTTACTGTCACAGGAACGGGGCATCTCATGGAAGAGGAAGATGCAACATCTCATGGAAGAGGAAGATGGAAAGACAGCGTCCCTGCCCTCTCAAGATTCCTGAGTGTAGGGGGAGACTGAGGCACACACAGTGACTCTGCAGAATGAGCGAGGAGACTGACAAACCTTCAAGGAAGGCAACACTTCAACTGGGGCTTGAAGAATGGGTAAAAACGTGACCAGGACAGCCGGTGGGAGAAAAGTAGTGTTAGAACAGAGGGAGGAAAACGCAAAAGCAAGTGGTCACAAGACAATCAAGAGTTCAGTGTAGCTGCCTTGCAGTGTGTGTGTGTGTGTGTGTGTGTGTGTGTGTTTGTGTCAGTGCTTGCGGTGGGAGCCTAAATGGAAATGACTGCAGAAAGGTGAGTTGTGTCTATGTTCTGAAGAGCCTTGAAGATGATACTGAAAACTCTAACTTTATTCTTTAAAGGAATAGACAGTGAAATATTTTGAGTAGGAGAACCAGCCACAGATGTGAACTCCTCTGCCTCTTTTCTTCCTTCCTTCCTTCTTTCTTTCGTTTTCTTTCTTTCTTTCTTTCTTTCTTTCTTTCTTTCTTTCTTTCTTTCTTTCTTTCTTTCTTTCTTTCTTTCTTCTTCTTTCCTC